AAAACAGACGTAGCTGTTGTAGGCTGTAAAACAGGTGTAGCTGTTGTAGGCTGTAAAACAGGTGTAGTCGTTGTAGGCTGTAAAATAGGTGTAGCTGTTGTAGTCTGTAAAATAGACGTAGCTGTTCTAGGCTGTAAAACAGATGTAGCTGTTGTAACCTGTAAAACAGGTGTGTAGTCGTTGTAGGCTGTAAAACAGACGTAGCTGTTGTAGGCTGTAAAACAGGTGTAGTCGTTGTAGGCTGTAAAACAGACGTAGCTGTTGTAGCCTGTAAAACAGGTGTAGTCGTTGTAGGCTGTAAAACAGGTGTAGTCGTTGTAGGCTGTAAAACAGACGTAGCTGTTGTAGCCTGTAAAACAGACGTAGCTGTTGTAGGCTGTAAAATAGGTGTAGCTGTTGTAGTCTGTAAAATAGACGTAGCTGTTCTAGGCTGTAAAACAGATGTAGCTGTTGTAACCTGTAAAACAGGTGTGTAGTCGTTGTAGGCTGTAAAACAGGTGTAGCTGTTGTAGGCTGTAAAACAGGTGTAGTCGTTGTAAGCTGTAAAACAGACGTAGCTGCTGTACCATGTAAAACAGGTGTAGTCGTTGTAGGCTGTAAAACAGACGTAGCTGCTGTACCCTGTAGTTAGCAAAAAACAAACAAATTTTGAGATTTAAGAAACGCTGACCTAATTCAAACAGTCATGGTTGGACAAAATCAGCTACATCATCATCGTGAGATGTAGTCGTTTCAGTTAGATCATCTTCACTTTCTTCTTCCACTTTAATCAACCTGTGTATTGATAATTTTTTAGTTCTCCTAATTCAAACAGTTTAAGACTCTTGCTCTCTTTTTAAACTTTCCTCTTTCTTGTTTGAAGTCAATATTTTGGTATTTTCTTATAAGAAGAGCCTAAAGGTACAGATAGACTGATGAACGAATAGATCGACAGAACAAGATGGATGACCTGATATATTTATACGGATGGACGGGTATATATGAAGCAGATGGATGGACTAACGTATGAATTTGTTTTATCCAGTATACTGAAAGCATCGGTAGTCGTGGATCGTCCGAATCTCGTTCCCAACGGAGACAAGTAGACCTGTTGTCATCGAGCACGCCTGGTAACGAGGCTTTTCAGATATGTGATCACCAGGAAACAGAGTCTAGATCAATAGGGCAAACTGGATCGTATGTGCTGAAATCCAGGGTCTCGTCAACCCACGATAAACGCACCCACGTGTTTCAGGTGAGTATAAAAGCCAAGTCCAGTTTCATTTGTGAACTGGTTAAAGTTATATTAGATTTAAAGACCGAGATCGTTTGTTTGTTGTTAAGCGCACAAAGCTACACAATGGGCTATTTTTACTGTGCCCACCGCAGAGATCGTACTTCGAATATTAGCGTTGTTAGCCTTCAGCCACTGTATCAGACATGCACATATACAGAATCCAACTCTTGCACGCCCTTCAGAAACAAAATATAAAAATATGCATTATTTCATTGTAGAATGACGTAGTAATAATGTGTACATGTCTTCAGCTTTTAAAAGGACGTTTATCATTCCTTGAAGTATCAAATAGATATCCTTACTGTCAAAGTTATAAGTTTTGAAGTAGATGTATCAAAAATTTATTTATTGCACAAGCACTTTATATGTAATAAATGTGAGTTACCACACTTGGTTCTGTATGTGCAACACATGTGATTTACCACACTTGACACTTTATATTGTAATATGTGATTTACCACACTTGATACTTTACATTTAACATATGTGATTTACCACACTTGACACTTTTCATTTAACACACGTGATTTACCACACTTGATACTTTACATTTAACACATGTGATTTACCACACTTGACACTTTACATTTAACACATGTGATTTACCACACTTGACACTTTACATTTAACACATGTGATTTACCACACTTGACACTTTTCATTTAACACACGTGATTTACCACACTTGACACTTTATATGTAACACATGTGATTTACCACACTTGACACTTTTCATTTAACACGTGTGATTTTCCACACTTGACACTTTATATGTAACACATGTGATTTACCACACTTGACACTTTATGTGTAACACGTGTGATTTTCCACACTTGGCTATTTATATGTAACACGTGTGATTTACCACACTTGACACTTTATATGTAACACGTGTGATTTACCACACTTGACACTTTATATGTAACACGTGTGATTTTCTACACTTGACACTTTATATGTAACACATGTGATTTACCACACTTGACACTTTATATGTAACACGTGTGATTTACCACACTTGACACTTTATATGTAACACATGTGATTTTCCACACTTGACACTTTATGTGTAACACGTGTGATTTACCACACTTGGCTATTTATATGAATTCTTAATTATTCTTCATTTAAGATTTCCCATACAAGGTTTATTTATTGACCTACAAAACGATATTTGGAAATTCAAAGGTGATCTCGGAAACGTTATTGGTGTTTCGTGAAGGAAAGGGGGTTTGTTAAACACGCTGTATTTCTATAATATTGAGGACGCAGGTGATATATAAAGAATATATATATATATGTTCAATGTATCATCAAGAAACGCGTGCCACATTAAAGAGCAACCTTCCCAAGGATCTATACGTTTTCTTCTTTTTGCACTCCAAAGCTCGTATTCTTAAAGGGCACGGTGAATTAATTTTGTAATTCTTCAGATTTGCTTTTGTTCCAATCCTAAATTAACAAGCGTGGTTTCGTTTTCTCTAAATCACGTTCTCGACAGTGGGCGTTGTATATGTACATAAATATTTACTTGTTGGAGTTCCAATTGAAAAAAAAAAACTTTGGTCAGCCAAATGGCCATTTATATGCAGTCTTTTTCCAGGCTTATGTGCGTACATCAGTGAAGTAGAATTTATATGCAGTCTTTTTCCAGGCTTATGTGCTTACATCAGTGAAGTAGAATTTATATGCAGTCTTTTTCCAAACTTATGTGCTTACATCAGTGAAGTGGAATTTATATGCAGTCTTTTTCCAGGCTTATGTGCTTACATCAGCGAAGTGGAAGAACAGGTACTGTGCTGGTGGACTCGTCCACCTAGTTTGGGTAACAGGTTTAGATTAATGAGAGATAGGTCGTTGTCTTCCGCATTGAAGAGGTCACTTAGTTTTTGTGAATTTTATTTAGGCCAAGCAAACGAGAACTTCAAATATGGAAACGTTCTCTTATTTGCTGTATACTTGTCTTAATCTTTCACTTCGTTACCTGTTCTTGTTTATATTCTGTCATTTTCCTCCACCCGTTTTCTTTCAAATATTTGGTAATCCTATGTTTGTTACTATTGTAAAATATCCCCCATCTTGTTTCTCTTACTTTTCATCTCATTAATTGTTTCTTTTCCTGTTCTTTTACTTCATTTCCCTGCTTTTCTTTGGTGTTTATTATAGTAACTTCTTTTTTGGGTATATTTTTTTTATTCTTTTCTATTATATTAGATATGCTAACCTATTCTGTTTTCTTTAAATCGTGACCTCTCTTCATCTTTTTCGTCTCCTCTCTACCATCTAGTATCTTGTTCTTTTGATGCATGTTTTTAACTGTTCTCTTCTTTAATTTTCCAACTGTCACATTTTAGGGCGTTTTCGAACCACGTGAGATAAATGAACTAAAACTTCACATTATTGCAGAACTTGTGGCAAAAAAAGCAGAACGAAAAAACAAACAAACGCCATTTCAATTTAATTGTTGTCGTTACGATTTCTTTGTTATTTCAAGTATGGGCGATAACGTGATACGTCCACTAAAGTATATACTACTCCACCTTACTCCCAATTTCGAATGGATATCCTAAAATCCATTAATCAATTACTATGCTGGCAGAAAATTAAACAAATTTGCGTGGATATCTGGAATTTGAAAAAAAATAACTAAATAACGTCCTCGAAGGACACTTGACCTTAAAGATAAAATATACTCTTGAGGAACACTAGACTTTGGAGATAAAGGATACCCTTGAGGAACACTAGACATTGGAGATAAAGGATACCCATGAGGAACACTAGACATTGGAGATAAAGGATACCCAAGAGGAACACTCGACTTTGGAGATAAAGGATACCCATGAGGAACACTAGACTTTGGAGATAAAGGAGACCTTGAAATACCATAGTTCTGAAAATAAAGAATATTCTTCGAGGACACCATACTTTGAAGATAAAGGATATCCTTGAAGGACCCTAGATTTTAAAGAAAGAAGACATTCATGTCAGACACTGGAATTTGAAGATAAAATGGCACCCTTGAAGAACACTACATTTGAAGATAAAGAAGATTCTTCGAGGATGCCATACTATGAAGATAAAGGATATACTTGAAGAATCCTAGCTTTTAAAGAAAGGGGACATTCTTGAAGGACACTGGAATTTAAAGATAAACTGATATCCTTGAAGAACCCCCAGATTTGAAGATGATGAATGTACTTGGAGGACATTATACTTTGAAGATAAAGGATATCCTTGAAGAACCCCAGATTTGAAGATGATGAATGTACTTGGAGGACATTATACTTTGAAGATAAAGGATATCCTTGAAGGATCCTAGATTTTAAAAATATACAGAAATGTACCATGAAGATTATTAAACTTTGAAAATGGTATAAAGTTGTCTGAAGAGATAACATACTTTGAACATATAATATATAGGAGAAAAACTCGTCCTTGGGGGATGTTTAGGGACATTAACTTTTAAAATAAAATAAAATAAACGTGTCCTTGAGAAACCTTTGAAATTAGAATAAATGTCTCATTAAATTTAAACAGATTTTTATCCAAACCACTGCCAGGAAAACATGCACACACACGTTTTGTGTTATAACAAATATTTGAAACAGCGACGAGCTTTGTATATTAAGCGTGTGGCCTAGAAAAGAATCTTGGCTTCGTTCCTGAAGATTAAAGTAGCTTTTTTGTTTTTCTAGGATTCGACTTCTAAATAAAAGCTCAGGTTCTGTGTCAAAACTTGAAATTGTGTTTGTTTATTGTCGAACACAAAACTACCTATGATATTAAACTGCCTGTACTCTGCCCGCCGCGGGTATGGAAATCCAAATTTTAGCTTATGAGCCTTCAAGCTTAATGCCGAGCCACTAGAGGGTCATTGAAATAGAAACTTTTTTAGTTCCAGCATTAATCTTTTAAACGTAAAATCACCCATGGTTGGGCAAGAAGATGGACTTTAATGGTTGTCACTTGTTACAATTTACCACTCCTTATAACGTAGCTAATGTTTGTCTCTGGTTACATTTTACCACTCCTTATAACATAGCTAATGTTTGTCTCTGGTTACATTTTACCACTCCTTATAACATAGCTAATGTGTGTCTCTAGTTACAGTGTACCACTTCTTATAACATAGCTAATGTGTGTCACTAGTTACAGTGTACCACTCCTTATAACATAGCTAATGTGTGTCTCTGGTTACATTTACCACTCCTTATAACATAGCTAATGTTTGTCACTAGTTACATTTTACCACTCCTTATAACATAGCTAATGTTTGTCTCTAGTTACAATTTATCACTCCTTATAACATAGCTAATGTTTGTCTCTAGTTACAATTTATCACTCCTTATAACATAGCTAATGTGTGTTTCTGGTTACATTTTACCACTCCTTATAACATAGCTAATGTTTGTCACTAGTTACAATTTATCACTCCTTATAACATAGCTAATGTTCATCTCTAGTTACATTTTACCACTCCTTATAACGTAGCTAATGTGTGTTTCTGGTTACATTTTACCACTCCTTATAACATAGCTAATGTTCATCTCTAGTTACAATTTATCACTCCTTATAACATAGCTAATGTGTGTTTCTGGTTACATTTTACCACTCCTTATAACATAGCTAATGTTTGTCTCTAGTTACAATGTACCACTTCTTATAACATAGCTAATGTTTGTCTCTAGTTACAATGTACTACTTCTTATAACATAGCTAATGTGTGTCTCTAGTTACAATGTACTACTTCTTATAACATAGCTAATGTGTGTCACTAGTTACATTTTACCACTCCTTATAACATATATTATTGTTTCTTTTCTTTCTATAATTATTGATTATTTGTTTTCTAACAACAGTTAAATCTTCAACAATAGTTATTGTTTATTTTTCTATTCTTGCCATCACTGTATCTTTTTGTCTATAATAATGACGGTCAAATCTCGGTTAGACAAGAGTATCCCCAGGGTTGGCGGTGGGTGCTGTCGAGTAGCTACATTTCCTCACGTCTGTCGTTCATAATTAGGAACGACTATGAGCTTATAGCCCCTTTGTGCAGTTAAAACGTCGTCCAAAACTTCCAGATAGCTTAGTCCTTTAACACCTTCCAAATATACTTTCCTTTGTAAACCTTCTCTCTAGCAAGTACATCAGTTTTATTAACTAATCACGATTCTCTACCATCACAGTTTTTTACAGTGCCTCTTCTTCCTTACCACCATACCTGTTCACTTTTTCATTTTCCTTTCTTAATTAAACAATTGCTGTTCTTTTTTTTTTCTCAGAAAAAAAAAGTTTTTTTTTCTTCGTGAAATAATTACTGTTTCTTTTTTTTTTAGGCCAAGAGTTGGCGGTGGGTGGTGCTGACTAGCTGCCTTCCCTCTAGTCTTACACTGCTAAATTAGAGAAGGCTAGCGCAGATAGCCCTCGTGTAGCTTTGCGCAAAATCTATAACAGACAAACAAACAAACTTTTTTTTTATGCTGATTCCTTTTCTTTCTTTTTATCGTCACTTCTTCACTGGTATTTTCAATATCTTTACTTTTATGTTTGGCCCGGCATGGCCAGGTGGATAAGGCGCTCGACTCGCAATCTGAGGGTCGCGGGTTCGAATCCCCGTCCCACCAAACATGCTCGCCCTTTCAGCCGTGGAGGCGTTATAATGTGAT